TTTATTAGACCTCCTGCCTGCTCTGTGACTTGGCCGGGCAACAAGAGGTCAGGTGGCAATCGGGGTGCTGGGGTGGGCGTCAGCTTTGCAGCAGCATCTGTTGGGATGGTGCTGGGAACTGCACACCCCTTTCATGAGATTTATATCTGCCTTCAATCGCTTCAGTGTAGAGGGCCTCAGGGCTGGGACAGCTCCTCTGGTGGGATTTTTGAACCTGTAAGGTAAACTCTTGAGGTGGGAGATGCATGAAGTCCCTCATCAGGGAGAAAGGGGTGGGCGTCAGCTTTGCAGCAGCATCTGTTGGGATGGTGCTGGGAACTGCACACCCCTTTCATGAGATTTATATCTGCCTTCAATCGCTTCAGTGTAGAGGGCCTCAGGGCTGGGACAGCTCCTCTGGTGGGATTTTTGAACCTGTAAGGTAAACTCTTGAGGTGGGAGATGCATGAAGTCCCTCATCAGGGAGAAAGTGCTTTGGCTGGTGCTTAATTTAACCCAAATTCAGAACTTCTGAGCACCTGGGGGAATTATTTTCATGTAGTCTCCTATGCAGTGTTCAGAACACACCACAAGATCATATTCCATAAGCATGTCCCCTCTGTGGTGGGGTTCTGCACCACCCTGTTTCCCTTGCTCCATCTTCTTCCCGTCAGGCTGCAGCGGAGCCGGATGCCGACAGACGGGCGTACGCAGGTGAGGAGCAGGGATGGTGCCCCCAGTGCACGTGGGGTCCCTGCTGCCCCCTGATGTGGGTGTGCAGTATGGCCTCGTGAAGAAATGTGGCTTCAGTCGCATCCTTGGAACAAGCTGCCTGTGGTGGCCAGGACAGCCACCAAGCCCCACTGAGCTGGGGGTGTCTGAGAGCCAGCTTGGGCCTCAGGGAGCTCCTGTGGGGAAGGCAGGGGCTGGGAAGGGGTCTTATGGGTTGGATGCTGGTGTGGTGCCTGTAGCCAGTGCTGATGTGGCCACGGCACAAGGCGTGGGTGGTGTTGGTGCCTTTGCTCTGATCCCTGCCCTGCTCCCTGCAGTGTGGGTGTCTGAGATCATGCTGCAGCAGACACAGGTGGCTACAGTGATTGACTACTACAACCGCTGGATGCAGGTGACTGCTCCTTACAGAGTCCTGTCCTCCCTTTTTGGAGACCTTGTCCACTGCCTGTGGCAGATCCCAAGCTGTAGAGCACAGCTCTACTTGTCCCTGATTTGTCCCCTTCCCTCTCTACTGCAGAAGTGGCCAACGTTGCAGGCTCTGGCACAGGCGTCCCTGGAGGTGAGCGCTGCTGGGGCTGGGTTCCATCCCTGCCCTCATGACTCTGCATCTAACACCTCATGTGTCTCTTGGAGCAGGAGGTGAATGAGCTGTGGGCAGGACTTGGCTACTACTCCAGAGGAAAACGTCTGCAGGAGGCAGCAAAGAAGGTGCACTGGTGCTAGGCTGGGGGAGGCATTTCTGAAGCCCTCTGTGGGCCGTGGGTTGGTGCTGACTCCCGTCTGCCCTGCCTTGCTGGGGCTGTGTGCTGCTGCCATGAGGCTACAGAGGCTGGGATCCTGTCACCTTGTGGCTAAAATGGATTACCATGCACACACCCCAGCTGATCCCCTGACCTCAACCTCCTTTGCTAGGTGGTGTCTGAGTTGGATGGCCAGATGCCCAGGACAGCTGAGGGCCTGCAGAAGCTGCTGCCAGGAGTGGGCCGATACACGGCAGGAGCCATCGCATCCATCTCGTACGGGCAGGTGAGAACTGGGCCTTGGTGGTCAGCAGGGACATGTCTCCTTGCTCTGCCATGGCCCTGCTCCTGGCAGGGTCCTGCTGGCAGGTCTGATGAGCCAGGGACTCCCCAGGGCTGTGCTTGGCTCTGACTCTCCCCTGAGTTTCAGGGTGTCCCTCCCACTGCCCAGCTTAGCCTCCAGGTTGGCCACGTGTGTGTCCCACTCTGTCCTTGGAGCACCTCAGCTCCTGCCTTGCTGGGAGCATGGGCACCTCTTGGCAGGGTAACCTCAGCTCCTGCCCCCAGGCTACTGGTGTCGTGGATGGGAACGTGATCCGGGTCCTGTGCCGCCTGCGGTGCATCGGAGCTGACTCCAGCAGCCCAGCTGTCATTGACCGACTCTGGTAAGGGGAACGCTCTATCCCTGCTCCCAGCTGTACCAATTCTCATTCTGCTTGCTGGTGGCTGAGGGCAGGGATCTGTGGGAGCCATAGGGAGCTAAACCTGCAAAGGGAAGGAGGCTGGGGTGTGGGAGCTCTTAGGAAGCTGGTGATGCTTGGAGTGATGGAGAAAAGACCTGTGTTGCCTCTGTCTACCTGGGAGCACCCCCCCCCTTCCAAGCAGAAGGGAGGCAGAGGTCCCAGGGTTCTCCCTGCAGAGCCCCATGTCCCTCACTGCCATTTCTCCCAGGGACATGGCCAATGCCCTGGTAGACAGGAGCCGCCCAGGGGATTTTAACCAAGCCCTGATGGAGTTGGGAGCGACTGTGTGTGTGCCCAAGGCCCCACTGTGCGCGGAGTGCCCTGTGAAGCAGCACTGCCAAGCGTGGCACAGGGTAAGTATGGCCCCAAAGTCTGTTTCATTCCTGCCTCTGGGTGGTTGGGGGTTGCTAGCTGTCCCAGTGGGGTGGCAAAAGGTAACCCTGCATCCCCTCTGAAGCTTCTTACAAGCCATCCCTGTCCTAGAACAGTGCTGCAGGCTGCTCATGATTGGGCATCGTGTCCTGTATCCTCACCAGCTGCCAGCCCAAGGGGTCACCATGCATGAGGACAAGGTGGGCTGGTAGATGAGCCTATCCCCATTTCTGTCCCCTCATGTAGGTGGAAAAGGAGCTGGCCTTTGCCTCTCAGAAGCTGTTTTCAAAACCTGCCCCAGTGCCTGATGTTGAGGACTGTGGTAAGTGTCTGGGAAGATCCCTGTTGTGGCTCTTGGTCTGGGTCCTGTGGTGACTGTTGAATCGGTGTTTGCAGGTGCTGGGGGCTGTCCCCTGTGCCCCCCAGCCACAGAGCCAGGGGACAGCAGCCTGGGGGTCACCAACTTCCCCCGGAAAGCAGCAAAGAAGCAGCCGCGGGTGGAACGAACAGCCACGTGTGTGCTGGAGCGGAGGGGCTGCCATGGGGCTGGCGAGTTCCTCGTGCCCCCCAGCCACAGAGCCATGGGACAGCAGCCTGGGGGTCACCAACTTCCCCCGGAAAGCAGCAAAGAAGCAGCCGCGGGTGGAACGAACAGCCACATGTGTGCTGGAGCGGAGGGGCTGCCATGGGGCTGCCGAGTTCCTCATCGTGCAGAGACCCAGCTCGGGTAATGGGGCTGGGCACGAGGGTGGTGAAGGCACCCATGTGAGGGGCAGAGCAGTCTGAGAGTGGGACATGATGAGACTCGGTGTCGCTACATGTTCCTCTTGCTGGCTCATATCCCTGTTGTTCCTTCTTCTCAGGTCTCCTGGCTGGACTCTGGGAATTCCCCAGCTTCCCACTGTCCCAGGGTCTGCAGGAGGAGAAGCAGAGGGAGATACTGGCAGATCATCTCCAGGCCTGGATGCAGCAGCCTGTGGCAGCAGGAAGCCCGCAGCTTATTGGAGAGGTAAGCCTGGAGCCAGAGGTGTGAGTTCTCTGTGCTTGGCCACAGAGGACACAGCAAGGGGGAAGAGGGTCCCTCTTCCCTGCTGTCACCCCTCCCAAGCCCTGCCTACTGACTCAGTGCACTTATAAGCCAGCTGAGTTGTACATCTCCTGCCACCTGCCCATTTCCCTGTATTTCCATCCTCTCACAGGTTGTCCATATCTTCTCTCACATCCATCAGACATATGTGGTCTACTCCCTGTCCCTGGATGGGGACATCACCGTGGACCCTGGCTTGTCCCCATCCCGTTGGGTGACAGAGAAAGAGTTCCACACCTCAGCCGTGTCTACAGCCATGAAGAAGGTACTGGGGGAACCTGGGCCTTTCCTTCCTTCCCTCTGTCTCCTTGGGGTCCTGGGCATCCCTCCAGCCTCTGTGGGCTGTCCCAGCTCCAGGACCTGGCTGCAGTTCAGCTCTGGGATCTTGTGCTTCCTTCAGGTGCTGAAAGTGTATGAGAAGCAGTGCAAGGAGGAGAGCACCCCTGGCAAGGTGGGCATTGCTGGGGGGGATGCAGCGCTGGGAGCTGCTCTGGGTTGCAGTGGAGCCCCCCTGGGCTGTGGGGTCAGGCCAAGGAGCACCCCCAGCCTGGGGCAGGGCTATGTCTACTGGCTTTGCCCCTGGATGTCCCTAATATTAGGGTCCCTGCTTGCCTCAAAGGCAATCCTTGAAAGCTTTGGGGGCCTTTGGGGTTTGGCTTAGACCTTGTGTGTCTCTCACAGAGCTCCAAGCGGAAGCGGGGCGCAAAGCTGCAAGGAGCAGGGAACACTGGGAAGCAGCTCTCGCTCCGTGCCTTCCTCCGGCCACCCACCTCCCCGTGACAGCACCTTTGCCAGCTGAGACCACTGGAGATCTGTGCCGTGGGGAGTCCTGCCTAAGGTATGGGGATGGTGTCCCCTGTACTGCTGTGTCTCCAATTCCTCCTTGTAGAGTCCACCAGCTTCCCTGTGGAAACTGTGCCTTAAACATGGCCACTGTGGTCCTGGGCTTGACCTGGAGCCAGACTGGACCTCCCTGCTCAGCTGGAGCCCTCCTGGGGTGGTTTGGTCCAGTGCAGCCCTTGCTCTGGCACTGTGGGCTCACAGCAGCTGGGGTGTCTCTGGCAGCAGGAAGGCTGGGCCTGCATTGCTTCCCCAGCCTGTCCATGTGCCCCAGTCCCTGCTTGCACCTCGGCCATCAGCCAGTGACTGTGGATGCTGCCATACCCTTCCTGGCCTCCAACAGCCCTTTTTATATATATTCTTGTCTCTAGTGAACCTGAACCACAGGCTTTTTAATAATAAATCTTCTGAAGCATGTGGAGGTTTTTAGAGTGACTTTCTACCTCTGTTGCACTGTGCTAAGCTGGGACTGTCAGGCAGCCTGTGGTTGAAGTTGAGGATGGCTGCCAGGACGTGTGCATCTGGGCCAGGGATAGTAGTGGTTTCTTGGTTAATGCACCCAGGAGTCCCTTGGCTGAGCATTAACTGCTGGTGATGCTGAGAAAGGGGTGGAAAGGGCCTTTTCATCCTAACCAGGCACTCAGTAGATCTTAAATGAGAGGGAAAAAAAACCAAACACCAAAGCAGTGAGTCTAGGTTAATTCTTTAATTGGGAGGAGCAAGAGGCCACCACTTGATCTGCAAAGGGGCTGGGCCATGCTCTGGGTGGTAACTGTTGACAAGCTGCAGTACCCATGGCCCCCAGGTTATCCACTCCCCCCTGGCAGCCTCTCATCCCTTTACATCTGGGGGTGTTCTTCTGACAGCAGTGTCCTTAGCCATGCTGCAGGTACATTTCTGATTAGATCAAGATGAAATTAAGGCACAAAGTTCTTCACATGAGGCCAATAACTCAATGGGAACCCAGGGGAGGGGAGAAATTGCCCTCCATCCTGGGGAATGCTCAGAGCCCCACTGGGCCTGGCTCTAAGTAACCTGCTGTCACACTGAACTTTGCTCTGGGTTGACCTGGAGACTTCCCTTGGTCCCTGCCAACCTGGGCCACACCACAGGCCTCTGCTGATATTTGTGCAGAGGAGTATTGCTCCAGGGTTGGGCTGGAGAGGACAGGGAGCTGAGGGAGGAGCATTGCACCATTGCCACTACTGCTGCTGGTCCATATAGACCTGCACAGCTTTCCACAGTGCCCGTATATTGCCCTCCCCAAAGCCTGGTGCTCCCCGTCGGTCGATGAGCTCCAGGAAGAAGGTCTCCTCGGAGAAGATGGGATGAGTGAAGATCTGCATCAAATATTCCTGGGAAGGGCTCTCTGTGGCGTCAGCACCTGGCTGGCCCCTGTCCCTGGGCACCCTGGTATCCAGCAGGATGCCCAGCTCTGCCAGTGTGTGAGGGTCCTGCCCAGCACCTTGGATCTCCTCTGCTTTGCCCCTCTGGCTGTAATAGGTGGCAGGGGGTGTGAAGAACCGTGCACCTCCCTGCCGCAAAGCCCTGGTGGTGGTGATGATATCAGAGGTGTGGAGGCCAACGTGCTGGATCCCGGCCCCGCCGTGCTGCTCCAGGAAGGTGTCAACTTGGTTGGTGGTGTCTTCTGAGCGGGACTCAGCAAGAACAAGCTTGCAGCTGTGTGCTGGGGCACCCTGGGCACTCTGCAACGCGAGGAGCAGCATGCCCACCCCATGCCCACTGAGCACGTACCCCTCAGCT